TCACAGAACTAGTTTCGATGGTTTTACCGAACCACCATCTTCAGCTGCAAAACCGCAAATGAACAGATAGGAAATATGATTAGATAAGATAAGAAGCATATTTTGCAGAAAAATTAACTTTCGGGTTGTTTATTCTCCCATCAATAAAATTCGGACCTAACTCAAGGGACCCTTCGGATATGAATTCCTGGGGATTTTGGTTCCTTGCCAGTTGGTTTAATTTACATGGCCAAACAAGAGAGCCTTAAAATTTCGCTTCAAAGAACATGAGGCATATGTTAGAAAAAAGGAAACACAGAAAGTTTTTTGCTTCAAACATTGTGTCCGAAAATCACAATTTCAATTTTTGCTGCTAAAATTATTCAAAAAACATCTTCCATTGGAGAATTGGATTTTTTAGAGGCATTTCACATTCATAAAAATCTTCTGTTCTAGTTAACGATCCTAATTCCAATCCAAATTTGCTTCGGCTTTTAGAGAAATAATGTTTTAGTTCTGGTCGCCAACAGATGCGCCACTTGTATTCTTGTCCAGGCGTTCTTATCTTATCTAATCATTATTTCCTATCTTGTTCATTTGCGGTTTTGCAGCTGAAGATGGTGGTTCGGTAAAACCATCGAAACTAGTCCTGTGAAAATTTTGTAAATATAACGCTAATTTTTGTTGTTTGATTTCTGAATTGGTATTTATTCGGCGTGTTATTGTGTCTTAATTATTACGTGTATGTTTGTATGCTTCTCACACTGTGAAAAAAATGGCTGTACCTAAAGCCACCAGATTTTGAACACACGTAGTTTTCTACCATGTGCAACTAGGAGACAGAATTTTAAATTTCAAAATTGCTCTTTATTTATTACCCCAAAAAGGCTGTTAGTCTCGAAACAGGATTTTTACGCCGATACGAAGTAATATAATTTTAAATGTTTCGTTTCACTTTTTATTCGAGTCTGTTGACATTAGACTCTTTCAGATAGAAACTTTTTGTTGTAGATTAACAAACTAAGCTATTTGGAAGCAGTAAAAGCTTAAAAAGTTTCCTTTCTTACTTTTGAGTTGGCTTGTTTTAAATGGTAAAAATGCATTTCATTCATCCTTTCTCTAATGAAAAATATTCATTATTTTCATAGAATGAAGGTCATCTATTTTTTGTTATTTATATTGTATTTTGTAAATTTTTTAATGAATTTTTGATTAAAAAAACTTAGCATGTGAGCAATGGCAACTCTGCCTGAAATAAAACATTTTTCTCTTTAGAGTGCAAGACTGTCTATCCGAAATTCTAAAGATATTCTGTTTTCAAATATTTTCTGAATTTTGCCGTTGAATTAAACTTTACGCAAGTTCGAAGAACGTAATATTTAATAAAAAAGTTAACAAACAAAACTTTAATAATTAAGAGACAAAAATGTTTTGTCAGCGATCTTACCAAGAAAATTTAACATTGACAGAATTAACTGAGAACAGACTGAAAAAAAAAAAAAAAAAAAAAATAGAAAAAATATATGCCAACCCTTAATGCATAATAATAAAAAGGATAAAAAAGAATAACTATAACCAAAAATGTTATCTTACTTGGGACTTAAAACTTGAAAAACGCAAATGAAATGCAAAGTCAACATTAGCTTCAGTTGAAATTCAATCTGCGTTTTATTTGAAAGCAAAGGAAAACGACAGTGATGAAAGACTGCAATGGTAATTTCAATGTTTTAATATTCAGTTGTGTATAGTTTTAATAAACAAGTATCGTATCCCGATGACAGTTTTTTATTTAAATCAGAAGAGATACGCGTCAAAATGAAACTTAAAATTAGTAAAGAAACAAACTTTTATTTGGCTTAGAAGTAGACAAAAATATTATAGCTTTAAAGTGCTTTGGTATGTTAAAAGTCTGTAAGGCAGAGGAATTGTAGTTTACAGTTAGAGAGCGAGAGTTTATCATGAGAAAGATACAAGAGTGAATAACTTCTAACTCTTGTATCCTTGTATTTTTCTTTTTAATCCAAAAGTTAATAATAGTTTGTTTAAATCTGGTCACATTGCAAAATCGAGAAAGTAAATGTTACACTAAAGTTATTCTGTCTTCTTCCACTACCTTCTTTGTAAAATTGGTCAGTTAAATCTTCAATTTTGACTAAATTTATAGAAGTTTTTCTTTTCAATCTTATGTCAATTAAAATGCAATTAGGTGTTTGCAAATACCACCACTATTACACAAACAATTTTCAAAAACTCTCGGTGATATAATGCAGTTACTTAACGTCAATGCTTATACAGGCTGTTTCCAAAAACCTACAGTACTTAACATCTCTTGAATCTTTAGCTGGGAATCCATGGTTTGAGTTTAGGCTTGTATTGAGTGATTAAGGCATCCAGACTACGGAAAGACCAGCAATAATAACCGAAACTTTAATTATTTTGCAGTCTTCACAAATAAAAAATTGCCAGTGAGAGAAATAGCCTTCCTTGCCAAAGAAAGTAAATTCAGCTTTCATAAGTTCAGTATCATTGTAGATCTATTTAATTGGAATTTCGGATGATGGTATATAGATATTTCTGAAAACAAGTATGTATGGTATCTTTTCAATGAAAATCTCTAACAGATAAACTGTCAGACATAATCCCTTCCCATGTACCACGGAGCCCACAGTCTTCAAAGCAGATATCAGGGCATTCTCGGCCATGGCTCTCCAGCGCGTTGCGCAGCTGTACCACAGGTTCGGTGTTCGACGCCCGGGCAGGGCAAGGTTGACGCGCTGCAGAAGAGGACTGCTATGGCTGTCTTTTATGATGTTAGCTTGACAGCTTTAAAATTCTCTTTGCAGAAGCTATCTGCTGCTACGACATGTCCCTCTCAGGAGGGCTAGCAGAACAGACGACTGGATCATAAGACAAGGAAATGTTACGCGTCTAGTTAGGAAGGAAAAAAAGAAAAGGTGACATCAAGAATGCTTGCATGCACTGATAACCGACACAGGAGGGCACTAGTGGTCCACTACATTGACTAATGTTCCTGAAGATTTAGCTTGGGCTAACACATGCTGAAAAACATTACTGTTGGGTGGCTCACCATGTGAATGCCTGCTACATTTTGCGTCATTCTCCAGCAAGCGTTATAGAATAATTTAACAGTTGGGAACCTTAATTTCTACATGTATCACAGTCAGATGAAAGATTAGATGAGTTGTGCTATATGAGTTACTACCTATCAAGAAAGGCCGTTGTCCAGAACTATGCATTTTGTGTAGTCTGAAGAATAAACGGGACCACGGACAAAAACATGTGATGAAAAAGGGAATAGCAAGCACTATCGTAAGAGATGAGTACAATAAGTAGATAGCAAATAAAGACCAGAATAACAATGCGAAAAAACTCCCATACTTGCCAGAAGATGTTGATGCTTTAATATAACACTTATTTGCTGGAATGATTTATGGCATCTTCCTTCAGGCGAAAGTATCATAGAGATTGGCTATTCTGCTAAACAGCATTAAACCATCTTCAGATAATTCTCTGGCATCTACTGTAAAGTCAACAGACTGTCATGTTCTGCCATCAACAGTGATCTATGTTGATGCCAGAGAATCTCTGGCATTCTTCAGTCATTCTCTGGCATCAACAGTGGTCAACAGACATAGTGGTTTAAAGATACATCACAATATCATCTCACATTACGTACGAATGACAGTACAGACTCTAAAAGAACTGCGGTATGAAACTCTTGTTCAATTACACTATTTCGATGACTAATTGACTAATGACTAATTTAATAATTATATTTTGATCATGACTTCAATTCCCATATTTCGATGAAGAATGACTGTACTGATTCTCAAAGAACTGCGGTATGAAACTCTTCTTCAATTGCCATATTTCGATGACTAATCTTTCGCTGCTTACAACTTCTCCTGGCATCTCGAGCGCTTTTTAGCCACAGAAAACTTTGTTGACGATCGAGCGTTCCAGCTTGCAGTTGACAGATTTTTCGTATCATTATCTCCAGTATTCATTCGCCAAAGACTCCTGTCGATGGCAGAACCTTGTTCAAAGTGAGTGCACATTGAAGGAAATTATTTTGACCACCAAGTACTGTTTACGTAGGATACTTATCACATGAAGTATCATATGCCTGCTGAACAACTCAATTCTGTATTAACCTTTTGAAGACGGGATGGCCATTATAGTGAACATAGAGATCTATCTTTGAAAAGACGGGGTTGTCTACTTTAGTGGCCATGTCTTTTTCCACCATTTTCCGGGCTAAAAAGTGGTGTGAAATGTCAAATCTGACTTCTCTAGGGTTTTAACCACTTATCTCTTTCAAAGGTCTTCCTTTTAGGACATAGAGGCACCCCTCTGAGAATCCATTAAACTACACACAAGAATCTTTGTTGCAAATACGATGTGATTTCTTAAAGTGGGGGAAGCATTCGGTTCAAAATTCCCCGTCCTTTGGTAGCTATTACTGCTACAAAAGCCTCGGCCTCAAAAGGTTAATGCATTATTTAAATGTTAGATTGCGCTTATAAGTAGAATGTCAAATTGTGAAATGCGTTTTATGAAAAATTACATCGCCTTTCATCTGTGCTTAATATTGTTCTACAGACTGCTACAGACTAGATCACTTCTCCTGCCATCTCGAGCGCTTTTTAGTCAGTTTGCAGTTGATAGATTTTTCGTATCATTAACTCCTGTCTTCTTTCGCCAAAGACTCCTGTCATTGACAGAACCTTGTTCAAAGTGCGTGGACGATGAGGGAGATTATTTTGACCACCAAGTATTGTATATGTAGACTACTTATCACATGAAACCTCATATGCCTGCTGAACACTTCAATTCTGTATTGATGTATTTTTTAAATGTTAGATTGCGCATGTAAGTAGAGTGTCGAATTGTGAGACGCATTTTAAGGAAAATTACATCGCCTTTCATCTGTGCTTAATATTTTTCTACACTCTGCTAGAACCTTTTGTTTAAATCTGATGATTTTCTTTTTTCAACAGCTTGCTGGTAGATGGTACGTGTTTGCCAGCTATCCTAGCATGTTTGAAATGGGAAGCACAGAGAGATGTTACTCATATCTTATGACGGTAGTAGGCAACGATCTTCACTTCACAGTAACCTATATAAGGAAAAATGAAACGTAAGTAAGATCTTTTCCTTCCCCCCCCTGTTTTTTGCGTATGTGTGCGTGTGAATATTAAATGAAAAGAAAGAATGAAAGGAATAAAGCTCAACTAAACTTCCCTTTCTGTGTCTCAAAAATAATTTAAAGCTACAGATTCCTATATTTTGAAAAATTCTTCAAAAAATACACTTTTAAGTTTTAGCAACAATATTGTTTGCCCATAAGTAAATATGTCTTAAATGCCCAATACCGTGAATACTACATGTGTTAAAAATGATAATCTGAGTTTCTGCATACATTCAATGAGCTTTGTATTAGAATCTTTAAATGCAGATATTATTACTTATTTTCAATTTCTTATAACTCTGAAAATAATTGCTAAAATGTTTTGAAATTTTTAATGCATGTTGCTAATTATATGTATTAAATAGTTATTTTTTTTGTTATTAAATTATTAAAACTAGTCTTTACAAAGTATTGACACTTTCGTATGTACCCTTGGATGTTAAAAAAATCAGAAAAAATATATCATCTCTTACCCATGGTAATATCTTTAACTCTTACCTCCACCTAGTTTGCCTTTTCAAATTTCCAAAATGTTACCATTCTACGGGACATAAAATCTTTAATTTAATTTCAAATTATAACAGCTTAGCAAATTGAGCACTTGAAGCACAGTTTACATTATGTAAATATCTGTCATCTTTATTGTCGTATGACACATGAGAATTTTATGTTGTTTTTCTCAAGGCAGGAAAATAATCCCTGCATTGAATTGATTAAACATTTATCTAATTTACAAGATATTCAATTTGATAAATACAAATATTATCAGTCTTAACAAATTTTTTTCAATAGCATCTTTTTTACACCATTTATTGCGATCTCAGAACAAAATAACTTAATTTGTAAGGATTTATTTATTTATTTTAACTAACATTAAATTTTAATTAAATAAATTTTCATTTCATCCTAGTTTTTACCACACTTTCCTGTCAGAATACCTATCAGATAGCGGGTGTGTATTTAAATTATGAGAGAAAGAAGAGTGTATTTAAGCAGAGATTTCGGAAGGTAATTTCAGAGCTGTTATTCCTGCTTGACGGCCACGTTGTTACTTACTCGCGATTTGATTCTGCGGCGTTGAGTGCTTCTAGCCATTAAGCTTGTTTCCGCCGGCTTGTCTCAGACAGAGCCATCCTTCGCGTTAATTCATCCTGTGAGACGTAGGGCTTGTAAAATTACATTTTATTTTAATTTCAACATTGCCTATTTGAGTGAAGCCAAAAATGTTGGCTTTGAATAAGACCAAGTGGGGCCACCTGTTCAACTAAATGTGAAACAAAGGGTCCTGTCCTTTACAAACTTCTGACTTCGTCTGTTGTTGTCAAGACCTCGGGATAATTCGTCATACACACTTTTGAGCGCTCGTTAGTTTAAGCCACCGAGAAGAACTAGATTCTGTAAGTCACTGCATTCATCTGATTTTTTTACCTTATATACTTAAAGGAAGGAAAAAATAAAGGAATTTAATTCCTTTAAAATAACTGATTATCATAAAAGGTAACCCTATGTATCCAACTACTGCCCTGTGTTTTTGTTTCTATAAAAGAATTATATCATTTTGTTCTTGTCTCAGTTTTATTGCCAGCATGCGAAAACGTTTTCTCAAAGCACAACCATATGTGTAGTAATTGTTTATGAAACTACTCCCCTAAGCATATGCTTGCCTTGAGAATTGGAATAGTTCTCTAATTTAATTATTTTGGAAGTCAAACCACAAAATTAGTGTTAGTTTTCAAATTTTCACAGGACTAGTTTTGATGGTTATACCGAACAATCAACCTGAGCTTCAAAAGCATTATTCAAAAATTATCTTCCTTTGGTGAATTAGATTTTCTAGAGACATTTCACATTCAAAAATTCTTTCTGTCCTAGAAAAAGACCCTAATTCCAAACCATCTACGCCTTCAGCCTTTAAGGAAATTATGTTTCGGTTCTAGTGTCAACAACAGCAGGCACCATTGCTTAACACCTATGCAGTCTCTTTTGTCATATCTTAACTAATCACTATATATTATATCGTTCATTTGATACTCATTTGATTCATCACTATATATCATATTCAAAAAACATCTTTCATTGGTGAATTAGATTTTCTAGAGGCATTTCACATTCAAAAAAGTCTTTCTGTTCTAGAACAAGACCTTAATTCCAATCCATCTATTATGTTTTAGTTATAAAGCTATGATCAGATATAATCAGATACAATCTATAATCATATAGCCCTCGAGACTTCATCAACAGATGGCGCCAGTAGCTTAACTCCTGTCTAGTCTTTCTTAGCATATCTTATCTAATCACTATATCGCATCTTGTTCATTTGCGCTTTTGCAGTTGAGGATGCTGGTTCCGTGAAACCATCCAAACTAGTCCTGTGAAAATTTGAAAACATAACGCTGATTTTTGTTGTTTGACTTCTAAATTTGTTATTGTATCTTTATCAGTTTCCTAATGCTAATAAACTAATAAAAGAGTTGAATCTATTTTCTCAAAGTAAAAAAACTGCCTCAGATTCCGATTTGAAAGGGTTACATAAATCATTATTAAATGTAACTAAACTCAAATATTTCCTCATATTGTACAGTTCATTTAATTATTGAAATAATATAAAATGTCTCAAATCCATTTCAAAATATCTTATTACACATTTTACATAGATCGGAGGAAAAACGTACTCTCGAAGGTAAAATTACCAGCGTTCCTGATAGTCCTGGGAAAGTGCGAATCACGATGCCTACTGGTATGTTTCTTTTGCATTTTTATCAACATTAAAACAATAAACATTGTTTTGATTACATCTAACTGAAGCGTTAACGAAGACAGACTTAAAGTAATGTACTGCTTATATTTTATGAGCACACAGTTATTAATTACTTTATTTTGTACAAATTGCACAAAAAAAGTGGGACTGCTCTATATCTCCCGTTCTACTGGACCGATTGTCGAAATTTAATTTGCATTTTTCATGTCTCGAAAGCACGGCATAGGATATATGTTAGATTTATGTATAGCATTGTTCTAGGTTTGGTATTTTGACAAAAAATCGGAGTTTTTTCTGAAATAACATACCAATATTTTTCCATATTTCCATTCTACGACTCATATTATGACAAAATGCGAGGTTTTGTAAAAATCGCACGAGTAATTTTTAAAAAATTAGCTCTCAAAATTTTAGCTCCTCCACGTTAATTGAATTTGGTATAATATTTGTTAATATATCCTTTTTTTTTATGAAACTTATTTCATTCTTCCTTTCACATTTCGAAATTTAGTGTTCAATCCAAATAAGGTTTGCCTTTTTAAGGATTTATTTTTTTAATTTGTATTTTTAAATATTTTTTATAAATTTTTCGAAAATATTTTTGTATTATAACCTATAAAATTTTTACTATCACCTTAATGTAGATGTATTTGTAAGCATACCTGCAAAAAATTAGAGTTTTTTATTTAAAATTTCCTACGATGTACGTGAATTGACATTTTGGCACGTTTTGAAATCTGGCTTATTTAATATTAGCGATAATAACGAAAATGTGGCTTACGAGCATTATTTGTGTATACGAGTCAGTTTCCCTTAGAAAGTCCTCCACGAAGGCATCCCTCCCTTTAGGCAGATAGCCCTCGAGGCTTTGCCATAATCACAAACACACACTCAAACACTGTTAAATTATTTGAAAGTAGAAACGATGGACTTTTTTCGCTTATGCATAATGAAGGAAATGTGATGTATACACCAAATTATTTCCTTGTAAGGAATGTTAAATTATACGCATTTTTTCTTGCATTTCATTTAAACTTATTGGATTGAATTAAATTTATTTCATTGATAGCGCATAAACCACAATAAAATAAACACACTCTTTAAAATTCACTATATTTGTTTACCATTGCGACGCTCTAGCGCTAGGTTAGCTTAACAGCGTTACTTTTTGTTCATATATAAATTTATATCATTAGAAGAATTATCTAATCGTTGCCACATGTTCTATTCAAAATAAATTGTGTTTTTGTTCTTCATCAAGTATTATCGCCAATTATTCTAAATCCACTAACCCGTAGAATGTAACAATATGTGCAACATTTAACGCTGTACTGAACGTAAAAGTAGGAAATTTTGAATTAAATTTTACCATTATGCCTATAAAGGTGCAAGTAGGAAACGGTGATAAAGCTGAAAGTTCAATCAAAGAAGTTATCGTCTGAAAAAAAAATTCTATTCCATAAAAATATCACCTAACTTTCAGGTTTATTATTAATATTTAATATTTTCTCTTAGAATCGCTCAACCTTTGCCCCATTAAGACTTTATCCACTGTGATTTGTTTCATTTATGTTTTAAAATGCTCGAAAAGCAACGACGGTCAAATATTTACTACGTGGTTTACTGCTGCTTTTTCAAGGTGATAATGATTTGTGAAACTTTGCATTTTTTCCCATTTTGCACAAATTTTACTAATTTATGTTCAAATAACAACTAATTTATGTTCCAATTTCCATCTTCTTTTTCTGAAGACATTTCCTTTATTGCATTAACTGTATTTAGGACATTTATTACCGGCTTTCTTCTTCGCAGCTCGAGAAGTTTGTCATCATTCAATGCATTCTTTATTTGAAAAATTTATTCTTGAAACGATTTGTTCGTTAGCCGAGGCGTTCGTGAACCAAGGTTCCACTGTACTTAGGATATATATAATGCACATTCTTTACATGAAACATTTTAACTTCTTTTCACAGTATTTTATCTTACAGTCTTTTAGAGGTATCAGTGTTCACGGGAAGTAAACTTTAAGTTTTTAAGGAATTATAAACGTTCGAGTATGCTAATTAGCTTCATGTATTGGTTTTTTCGTTAACCATTGAATTTTACTGCTTTCTTTCTATTCTTTCAGGCAATTTTTAAATTGTTTTTTAGTATAATTCAATATAAATGCAAAGTTAAATATGTAACCTTTGCAAGACCGAAGTCTTCGTTAACTTGTATAGTTTAAATACCGAAACGATCGTCCCCGTCCATTACCTGTCCCATTCGTCTCTTTCCTTCAATAATTCTCTTTCCTTCAATAATCAATTAAACACAAAAAGTAGTGACGATTTCAAATAACATCCTTTCTACTCCCTAACAAAGACGCATTCATTAACCTTTTACGATAAGCTGTCTACAGTAAAACGATACAATGCATTTGGTAAAACTGTATCTCTGATTCTTTCGTGCGCTTGTAGTCGTTTGAATGAATGCTCATAGTTTAATGTAGTTTTCTATTACATTGCACCTTTTATTATAGGGCTCAAATATGAAACTTTTAACAGCTGAATATATATGCGGATATCATTCAGAAAGGAAAAATACTCGATATATTATAGATAACACGCAAGTCTAACACCAAGCCACAGATTGCATATGCATTCACTAGTGGTCTAACAGCTCAGCTCTGTAAACGTCTGTGTTGAGTGAAAGAAGCGTAACTACATTTAGCAATGGGGTCTTACTTGAAAACGTCATCTTGGACAGAACTAAAAAAGATTACAAGAATTTTCTTCAGATGCTCTCGTAGTTGTGCAAAATCTGCAGGTTGTTAGGCCCAGTGACAGATGAATTTGTAATCCTCAAGTATCTAAGTTTTGCTTGTTGATTCCAATAGTGCCAAAATTATGTTCTTCCTTCCATTCTGTCAAGGGTGATATTGAACTTAAATTCAGACAAAAAAATTTAAATTATAGAGTTGATTAATAATATAAAAAACTAATATATTATTATTATTATTATTATTATTATTATTATTATTATTATTATTTATTATTATTATTATTATTATTATTATTATTATTATTCTTATTATTTATTATTATTATTATATTATTATTATTATTATTATTATATTATTATATATTTATTATAGATTATTATTATTATTATTATTATGCAATAAACTGTTACAATCAAAAAGAAATTCGAAACTAGAATTACCAGTTAAAAATACAAACACACACGTAAGAAGTTCCAATGAGATTCGTAGAAGTAAAACGAACATCAATAATCATAATCCTCGGCTAAAAAGATAATGACAACAAATATAGTGACCTTAAGTCGCATAAATACGGATATAGCAGTTCGTCAAGTCCATCAGTGACAGTGATCAGTATTACATGTGATAATGAAGCGTTTCACGAAAACCAAAAAGTAATTTTTGATGTAATTCTGAAGCTGGAAATGCAAAATTTTGTGGTGGATATTTCCGAGGCTTATGTTTTCTGGTCCATGGTTAAAACGGATATACCGATTAAAGCTTTTATACAAATACGATAACACAATAATACCACTATAAACATTATAATAGCTACAGCAGATTTTACATTAAACCATGATGTTGCTCTAACCAAATTTTCGACCTCATACAAAATAATTTAGCAGTAAATTTTTTACTACTTTTGCAATCAGTGAAATACTTCTAATTAATTAATGAAGCAATTTGAATTTATTATATGTTACTTATACAGTTACTTACTTACATAATTATTTGTTTACACAAATTATAGTGGGACTGGAGAATACCTTCAACATTGTCGATGCAAAATACGATGATTATGTAATTAATTACCTCTGTCACAGTTCTCCATTCAACAAAATGGGTAAGTAAATTTAACTTGTGTTTTTGCACAAATTACGCAACTTAAATACATATATCATGTGTTATATTACGAGAAAACAATATTTGAACTCTGATATAAATCTGTAATTAAGTTTAGGCAAAGGCTTATAAGACATTTAGAATACGATACATAAATTTGCTTCTCTACTCGTAATATCTATTAAATGCATATTTACTACTATATTCTGTTAGATAATTTCTAAATTTTTCTCAAATATAAAATGGTCAAACTGTAGGATTTCCCATAGTTTGAATAAGCAATTTTTCTAATTTTTGTTGTCTTTTTAGTACTCATATATTTCCCCTTGCATTTCCTTGCCAGGATGCAAACAAAGTGAAGAAGAGTATATAAACGGGCGAAAAGAGAAAGTTAGTTAGAGCCATTAAAATGCTGCAAACCATCATTCCGTGTTTTGGAGAGTGGTGTAGCTATTAGAAAATATGTATTTAACGGCTCCTACTTGTTAGACGGAAAAAGCGGAATTTAAAGTCAAAGAAAAATATATTCCTTTTCAACGAGTTGCAACCAATTGTTCCAAAGGGTAATTACCTAGAAATCATTATTAATGTCAAGCTCACATGGTAACATTACATTTATCGCCTGAGATCCAAAGCAATTAAAGTCATGAAATGCCTACTTCTCATCACAGGGAAATATTCAGAGCTTGATTTTTTAAAGACAACACTCATTTAACTTCAAATATTTGGGCCCTTAATGACTTATGCTTCGCCAGCTTGGGCTGCTGCCCCTCCTTCGGATATACACAAGCTTCAACTTGTGCAAAACAAATTTTTAAGAATCAGCAGTAATGCACACTATTCTGTTCGAAATAAACTTCCACATGCTGACTTCAAACTGGATTAATTGGATAACTTTCTCAGGAAAGCTAACAGAAAATTATTCAAGAGTGCTCAATATTGTGATCAAATAAACGTTTTTTTGAACTTTTCAATACGACGTGCTCCACGAAGATTTATATCTTCGCCCTCATAAAGGCTTCATCGTTAGTGAAAGCCAGGATTTTCACACTTAAACGTTCTTGTATATAGTTATGTCACTATTTTATACAAATGTATTTTATTTTCATAGTTTAATTCCTGCAGATTCCAACAGCATTTTCCAGAGACAGCACTAGGTTGGGTGACCATCCACGTGTCCCCTGATTCTGCTCGTTGTGCTATGTAGCTCCTGTTACTGAACTTTAGCACCTACGATTTGTTCATAGATTCATTCTGCCTTCTGAAGCTAATTATATATAATCTTACATCTTGCTGTCATCAGTATTGTTATCAAAGTTATTCTGCATAGCAACTAGGCTATTACAAGACTGTTTTATGTATCACGTACTCACCCTCCAAGCATCCTAGTTGTCCTCCTGGTCCCATCGGCCAAGTAGTCACTCTATTTCAAACGCCCACTGAGGCAATCATGCTAAGACAGCCGGAAAACAACGTGCATTTAGCATGTTAATCGCGGTACTTGATTGACCTGGAAGTTAGAGTGTGATTTCGCTAGCATAGCGGACGTTGCTACTTTGTCCTTGTTGCTGTTACCCTGAGTTGCTGATACACCTTCTAGCCCTTTATTTAAAGTCTACCGGTTTAGGTTTCTGAGTCAGCTTGTCAGTTTTAAGCAGTCCAGCACAACTCTTTGCCATTTAGGCTACTGTTAATTTACCCTTAAGTTTCTACCGCAAGTAGACAGTGTTATTTTCAGCAGGAAGTACACTCATTTTTGTTAAAGATTTAAAAGAATAAAAACGGCAGTTTAAACCATTTCCTTTTCTGATATTTCTTCCTGCCTGGGCGAGAAGTGGCATGGTTAAGTAAGATAGATTGATTGCGTGTAAGTTAAGAGGACAAGATCTCCAAAAACGCACAAGTTTGCACAGTTGCTAATTAAATCGGATAGAAAAACAGCTCATACGTTTTAATTTACTTACGAACTTACAGATATTAGAACTGATTATGAACTTATTTTCAATTGCTTATATTTTCAGTGTCTAACTGTTTGTCATAAAACTAGTGCATCTCTCACATTAACATTTCGTTCACAAGAAAGATATTATTATTATTATTATTATTAAAGACAATAATTTTGTAAATTATTTCCTCTAGAAATGGTTTCAATTCTAACGAGGGATGTTCGCCTGAGTGATGCTAAAAAGAAGAGTCTACTGGAAAAGCTGAAGCCATTAAAGTTTGATACAGAACTTTTGGAATTCGATTCCAAAGAAAATTGTTAACATTTCTTTGCTTTGGATGTAAAAAAGGAGATTATTATTAAATATGAAGTGTTAAAATGCATTGCTTTCTTTTACTCCTGACATGACACTGAATTTCAGATTAGATCTAAATATAATGAGAAGTTCTGCGTGAAGCATTCATTAAATGCGATTATACACAGCCTCACAAACTAACTACAGATTTTCGTGTCTTCTGTTAAAACCTGTATATAAGCTTATACATGATAAAACTTTTCATTTTCTGAAATGAAGAATGTAAATGAATCTAATCTAGGTTTGCACTTCAACCAACGTTTTGTAGACAGAACGATTTCTAAATAAAATCGCCTTAAGCCCTGAATTTATCCGGAATTGTCCAGTTTTATGTTTATCTTCCATCCTCCCATGGCGTCGTTTATTCTACTGGCTGAAATCTATACGCTGGGAGTCTCGGTTCTGGGAGTGTAAAGCACAGGACCCGCTTCCTACTCTCCGGAAAGGCAGTCTATGCTGTCCAAGAGGGCCATCCGAGTGGTAGCGGACGGCCAGTCGTCATTTGACACCAGTTCTAACAAGTAGGATTTTTGAGATGCCACCTCTAAATATGCGGCCAGCTGAACGGCCTCTCGAGGGGTAGCTGTTAGGAAAAAAATCGTATAAGACCCTCGAACCTTCCCCTCTCTCGGGTGCTCACAAGAAACTCCTACTGTCACCTCCATGGTGCTCAAGGCTATAGCCAATTACAATAATACAGCACACATTAAGGCTATTTCTATTATATTTAGATGCTAAATTTATTAACATCAACATAGAAAAAAATTATTCTTATAACAGAGTTGCATTTGCAGAACTTCAAATCCCTTGTAATGCACCAAAACGTGCACTTGTTTTTCATTTGCACTGTTGATAATGGCGAAACACAAAAGCAAATATCAAATTCGAAAACATCTATTGCTTTAAATCTTACTGATTCCATAACGCGCAGTTGTCATTATTTAGCTGTAATTCAAAAACTTAAGGAACATTGTTTCCTGGTACCTAAAAATCGCGGGGATAAACACCCAGATAAAAATAAATTTAGATTTGAAAACACAAGAGAAACACGCCAAACTAAAACATAAAAATTATAAAGCAACAACCTAGTGTTAGGCGTAAATTTTAGTCAGAATTCTATCAATTTCTAGGCAAACAGGTACAGTTCCCTCTTCCTCATGATCAAAGAAATCTTACCAGATTCCTGATGAAGAGGGACCTGTGCCTTCTTGCCCTAAAAATCAATAGAGTTTTCACTAAAACCTACACTAAACTTGAGGCTTTGCTAATTTCATGAATTTAGATTCGTTGATACAATAGAAATAACATGGTAAAAATTAAATTAAGGTATTCTTCTTCAAAATATTTATTTTAAATATGTAAAAAATACTTAATTTATTTTAATTAGAGAAATTATACATTATTCCATGGCCGAATAAAATGCAAATTTTAAAAGCAAGAAGTAAAAGCAATCATTTCATTATGTTATTAAATTAAAAAAATCCATGGACAATGAAACGTAACAAAATACAATCCATAATTTAGAATTATAAATCTTTCTGTTTATTGGAACAACAAATTAAATTTTGCTCAGAGAGGATCAAACTGAAATGATACTTTACTTTAAGCTCACTGCTATTTAAAACATGGAATTTGTGGAAGATGATGTGCTGTCATATAAAAATTGTTTGTAGAAATATTAATGACGGTTTTTCAAAAATTATTTTACATATGAAAAAAAATAATTAAAAAAAGTAAAAATCTGAAAGCTTTTGCCCTAATGGCGAGTATTTTTAACGTTTTGTGTGTTACCTTTATTTATTGAATTTTATATTCTTCTCACTTAAACCACATAAAATTCAATTCAATAGCAATACCAGAAAATATTTAAAAACAGCATAGCTTTAAAATTTCCGACAGACAGTCTCGCGCGCTGGAGACAAAGTTTCTCTTTCCGTACAGTGTTGCAACTGCTCGCTTTGAAATCATTGAGTTTGTTAATCAGAAATTTAATAAAGGCTTACAAAATGTGAAATAGGAAGTAAAACAAACTTTAAATTCAAAATTCAGGTTTTCAGGTCTCTATGTTCGGATGGAGGACTACATTATTCAAAACCTGATGGCTTTATAGGTACAGTTGTTTTTTCACAATGAGAGAAACGTACATACATTCATGCAGATTCTTCATCATATAATGTCTTTAATACAGAGCGACAATATTTGGTAACAACAATTTTAAAAGTGATACAACGTTTTTTGTAGTTCAACGCAAAATGCCGTTTTGATACTAATAGCCCTTCTGAGCTAACGCCACTTTGGGCTAAAAAGATTTTTAGTGAGGAAGAACTTTTCTTGTCGTAAAAAGAATTTCTTTACTCGAACTTTTTTTTATTTTCATGAAGGTTTCATAAATAAAAATCGATATTAGTAGTATATTATATAATTAATGCAATTAAAGAGTATTTAACAATAAATGGTGCAAAATAGAACAAAAAAGTAAACTGATAAATTTTCTTATTCTCATTTCTGTTTGACATATATCCATTATTTACGTGTTAAGATGGCGCTCGTTTCGCGCTCTTTCGTTCAGTGCCGAACCTTATTGGATCGTATCCCGTGTTTTAAGTGGAGGTCTTACTGTACAATAATTTTCCCCATGCATCGTTTTCTCCTCGTTGTTTTAACGTATAATGGGGAAAATTTTCGTGGAAATCACGCCATGATAAAACTACTACCTTACAAACAAATATTAGAAAAGAAGTTTAAAAGTGCAATTATTTAAAAACCATTGTATGAACTGGACGTTTTAAACGAGATGCGTGAAACTGACGCGTCAAGCGTCAAAAAGTTCAACTCACGCGGTCTCTGGCCATCCAGCAAATGCCGCCTCTGAACTCGCTTCTGATTGGTTAACGCTTTACGCGCGAACGCGTAACCGCGTTGGTGTGAACGCAGCTTAAAAGTGTGTCGCCGTTGTCTTCTTGTCATTGACGCTCAAACTCTCCAGCCTGGCGTAACTCAAACTAGTACGGACGGGCACTTTACATTTCCCAAACTCCCCGCTAAATTGCCCCCAATTTGCATTGAAGGATGTGAATTTAATTGGAAAGATTTTAATGAGATGTTGGAAACAGAGGAATGAACAGATTTCACAATAAAACGGAAAGCACAAGGACAGTATGAGACACATACAAAAAACCCTGAAATACACAAAAAGATGACTACACTTTTCAAGGCACACGATCTTTCATATCACTCCTATCAGTTGCCAGATGAGAAAAACTTGAAGGTTGTAATTCGGAATCTTGATATTGACATTGACCCGGCATTCATACAAGAAAAGCTTGAAGAGAAAGACTTCAAAGTTCTAAAAGCCAAGCAATTATTGCGGCGACGATGAACTGAACGCGAAACTCTACCCTTGTTTTTGGTCACTTTACCCAAAAATGAGCAGAACAAGCGCATGCAACAATTGAAATTTCTCATGAGGCTGCACATCAAAGTTGAAGGATATAGGGGACGTAGAGGCCTCACACAATGCTACACAATGTCAGTGATATCATCATGCACAAGCGGCATGTAATCACCCACCACGCTGCTGCACATTTGCGGGAGACCACGAAAGCCGATATTGCCCCAAACCCAAGGACTCTGAACCCACGTGTTGCAACTGCCTTGGAAAACATACTAGCAACTGGAGAGGTTGTGATGCATTTCCCACACAGAAACCCAAGCTGACGCCATCCCTAAAAATGAGGACAGATATCCTATGCTTAAGCTGCTAAGTCTCACATATTTCCTGAAAAAATGACTAATGGAGTTTTAGAGGCCCAAAATGTTATGTAAAACTTACAGGACCTCATTTAATGTTACATAACTCTCAGCACCTGATCGCTGAACTAAGTGAAGCCCCAATCTACCAGTTTTAGTTATGAACCTTAGGCCGCAATTAAAAATAAATCCAGTGACGGTCTTAACCTGGAATTCCCATAACCTCACAAACAACCTGGGTGAACTACAAGATTTCCTTCATACACATAACATTGACATTGCCCTCATTACTGAAACACACGCCACGGCCGCAAGTCACTAAGCATCCCAAACTACCGCAGTTACAAGTGTGATAGAATTTGGCACAGAGGAGGAGGAGCCCTTATTTACGTAAAGAGCAGTTTTAACTCAAGCTATCATTATTCGGATAACAGTAACGGATTTGAAGAAGTAAGGGCTACTGTTCACTGTAACAGCTTTAAATAATACTAAAATCTTGTAGTTTAAATAATTTAAATAGATGAACATTAAGGTATTTGTGAATCGCAATATTTGAAACCAGACTCGAGTGCCACGTACGACTCTCACACGAAGAATGTAATTTATTTTCAAATGTTATAATTCTTTCTTCTTCTTTTTTTGTATGTCGCCATTTTGAGTGCTAAATAAAGTTTTTTCTGTGTTCCATCATTGGAGTTACTTCATTTGCCAAAGAAGTATCACAGTCATAATTATTTTGGAGTAACCGTCCGAGATCGAATAATCGTGCGTATTTTTATTTTATTAGTTCATCACTGAACATAATATTAGTGATACCAGATTATTACTTCCTGTTAATATTGAATTGCTTTATTTTATTAGTTCATCACTGAACGCAATATTAGCGATACCAGATTATTACTTCCTGTTAATACTGAACTGTCTTATTTTATTACCGTATTGGATATTATTTTTAATATTCATTTTAGTTGTCCAGACGGTAGATATATATATAGCTCTATGTTGTTATTCTTATTTTAGTCACAATTAATGTGGTAGAGAGTATGAACTTCATGTAATTTAAATATTTCATTTTTGAGGTATACGTATTTAACAGAGTGCATTTAATTTTGTGATTCCTGATTGCATTAATTAATTAAAGTAATTGAATTGAGCTATTCTGAGGAAGTATACAGAACACAGTGTTTGTTAATTTTAAACATATAAACAATGTCTTACTTAGGAAGAGCTCGTAAGGAAGATTTGCAAAATCTCGCGGCTGACCTGGGAGTTCA